AGGAGGAGTCACTGAAGGTACCCTGCAACTGGGCCACAAATCTCTCTGCTAATCCTAAACCACTCTGTGCTACCTCTCTCTGACACACCTGCAGCTGGATGCCAGCGGTTCACTGTCACTAGCCTTCAGGATGCACCCTTCTTCCCACAAGGCATGCTTGGAAACCAAATGTTCCAGAGAACCTCTGTTTATCTTGCTCTCAGACCCCTCCAGGCACACCACATGGTCTTTTCAGCATTCCCAACACCATTTTCATCCTCCTGGCACACTCCCAGCTCCACCTGGGTCTCCTCCACCCCGAGCACTTGGCAAGTACATTGGCCCCCAACTCACCAGTCCCATCCTGAATTCGAATGACAAAGTAGCGGCTGGAATCTGCCACAGTCTCCACTGCAATGCCAGGGTATTGATCTATAGGAGCCTGGGCAAAAAGTTCTCCTGCAGACAAAGAATCAGGTGTTAAGGAGAGCGACCCCTTCCTAAAGTGTGGCAGGGGCTGTCATGCACAGCTTTGGGCAGGCTTAGAAACACAGGCTCATGGGCAGCAATCACAGTCACTGCCTTTCCCTTACCTGAAACCTTATCCTCCAGTTTTATGTAAGCAGTTTTGCCTTTGGAGGTGACACGAAGCCGCCCTGTCCAGTCTGGATGGTCTAGTTTCCAGTCAGATGCCCTGAAAGGAAGAGCAGCTAATCACTGATCATAATCAACCTCTCCAATTCTGCCCAGACACCTCAGCAGAAGTCTCTGCTCCCAAACCCTCAACTTCTGCTGCTGCCTCATTCTACTTCCCTCCCCAAATAAGACATGGGGTCTCAGCTCCTCTCTTGTTGCTGCCAATTGACACACTGGCATCGCTGGGCAAAGGGAAGGAGACACAGTCCAGGGAACATCAACTCCTCATCTATATAAGCTTGCAAAAGAGGGGAGACAGAAGTCCAGAAATTCACTTGAAAAGGAAATCCACAAAAGTGACTTTTGAGCATTGGGAAGACCCCATAAATTAATTAGTAAAATACTGAAAAGACCCTCCATTATTCTACCCTATTGTTGCAAAATAACACTGAGTACTTCTGAGCCTAGAGGCAGCTGACTTACACCAGGCAAAACACACACACACACAGACATTTTCACTGACCTATCACACTCTTTGCCACAGACTCTTGTGAAGGAGAAAAAAAAAAAGGAAAGAGAGAAAAAGCCCAACCTACAGCACCACAGAATATTCTGAGTTGGAAGGAACCCACAAGGATCACTGAATCCAGCTCCGGGCCCTGCACAGGACATCCCAGAAATGACACCATGTGCCTGAGAGCATTGTCCAAACGCTTCCTGAACTCTTGTGGGCTTGGTGCTGTAAAATCTACAGGATTTTATAACTGGAAACAAACATCCCTGGCCAGGCACAACATCCGCCTACAGTCTGTCAGGTTCAGGGAGTACACAAACCCGCTTCTCCAGCAGCCCTGTGGGCACATCTTACACAGTCACACTCTGCTGCTTTTGGCTGACCAGAGAAGGCATTTCTAACTGCTGGTCCTGCAGCCTCTTCTTAAAAGTCACCCCGAATTCCTCCCGGTTTCTCCCCGCCACTGCGAGAGCCACCAGGCCAAACCCAACGTGCCGTTATAGCACATCAGCGTCACATCCCAGGGAACCCAGCAAACCGGGAACAGACGCCAGCTCTGCCTGGAAGAGCAAGATGCGCCCTCACCTCCTGCCCCCGATTAACAGAGTAGCCCCTGCTCCTCCACAGCACGGAGCGGAGGCTCCTCTACCTTCAGGCGCTGACCACCTGCGCCAAAAGAGGCAACTCCAGCCGGCGGCTCCTCCAGAGCTCGGCTGGAGGGGGCTCAGGGGATGGCCAGACCTGCTCGCGGCCACAGGACACGGTTTTCCCAAGGGGCGCGGCCGGGACACGGCACGGCACACCCCAGTCCCCGACCGCCCTGCGGGCAGGGGCTGAGGCAGGCTGGGCCGCACCGGAGCGATCGCGGGCGCCGCACGGTCCCTCACCTGTACCCGCGGTTGGAGGTGCGCGGCGGGATGCGGTAGACGTTGACATCGGGCTTCACGCAGAGAACGGACTCGTACTCCAGCTCGGCCGACGCCATGTCGACCGCGAAGCCCGGCGAGGAGCGAGCGGCGGGAGCCTAATGACCAGCGGCACTGCCCACCACCATCTTTGATGAGGGCAGACACTGCCTGGGGGCGCCGGCGCGGCTGGGCCAGACGCTGACCACGTAGGAGAAGCTGAGGGAGCCATCTTGGATGCTGGCAGCGGGGGCGGGAGGGCGCCATCTTGGAGCCGCCTCTGACACAGCAGCGGCGGCCGGAGCCATCTTGGGGCCTGGCAGTCCCGCGGCGGGGCTGGCGCGGCCATGTTTGTTTGGGGCGCCATGCCGGTGCCGGGCAGCGGGAAGGGCCGGGCAGCGGGAAGGGCCGGGCAGCGGGAAGGCTGGGGGTTGTGCCGCCACACGCTGCCGATCTGCTCGTCTGCAGCCCCCGGGGCTGCTCCCCTGCCGACCTGGGGCGTTAACTGTCAATGTTCTTTCCGTGGCGCGGGGATTAGGTGGCTTTTTGGTAAAAGAGCGAGCCAAAACGTAAATGCGGCACAAAGTGCGACAGGTTTTGCTGCTGGAAGCGATGGAAATGCCAGCTATGCAACGCGTAGTTTCAGGAGTGGGTATTCCCCCAAAATGTGGCCAAAGTAAAGGTGTAGGTACTAGTTTATTTGTCAATAATGATAAGGCTGGCAGCATTTAAGCCACTCTCTTAATGGTGGCTTCTCAGTGGCAACTGGTGTTGAAGCTTAGTGCCGTGCAGCGTCCTGTGACTGAGTCTCAAAAAGTACCAATGTTTACTCTGAAAAGTGGAAGAAAAGGCATAAGAGAAATTTAAAAGTTACATAGAGCCATGTCTGCATGTCAAGCATTGGAATGGGCTGCCTAGGGGGCTGGTGGAGTCACCATCCCTGGAGGTGCTGAGGCAAAAACAATGAAAATAATCACTGAAACATCAGTAAATTTGAGATATTGGGGTTTCGTTGTTTGGTTGTTGTGGGGTTTTTGTTTTTCTGTTTTTTTTTTTCTTTTGGTTGTTTTCTTGGATTTGTTTGCTTGTGTGTTTTTCCAGTAGAGAATAGCATTAGTTAATGCAGACAGAGCTATTCCCACCTGTGGCTGTCTAGTCATCATTCTCTATATTTTTTCTTGTTCTACAAGAACAAGTAACAGCATTCAGAATTCAAGAATTATTCATTAGTACAGCATTTGGAATTCAAGAAGAAGCTTACATTTACCTTTTGGATAGAGTTGTTTGTTGACCTAATTTTTCATTAGAACTTCCTTCAGTGACTACTAAGTTTTTTCATTGAGCACTAATAACTTACCAGGACTACACCCGTCTATGTGCGTAGTTATGGTTGCTTTTCCAAGTTCAATGATTCACAATTAGCAGTATTAAATTTTACCTCCCTCTTTACAGTGCTGTCATTCAGCGTGCCACAGCCCTCCTACGGTCCCTCTAGAAGGAGAGCATCTCGAATGAGGGAGTGGCAAAGGCCCAACTATTATAAGGCATGTGAGGAAAGACTCACAAGTAGCACCAGGATGCCAGGAATACATCTCCCATTCAATTCCATTGAGACTTAACCACCAGAAGAGAACATAACATTCTTCTGCTTGGTTCAAACAAAAAAATGGTTCTCTGGACCAAAAAAATACAAAGCACCACCAAACCACTGAAATTTAAATATTCCCCCTCCCCCTTTTTTTTTTAAGGATTCAGTAGAGAGGTTGAAATTTTGAAATAGAACATATTTCACCTGGAGGATAGAACTGGCTAAAGACCTTCTTGCAAAGTAGGGTTTGACTGGCAGGTCCCATGGTGGTGACCAGGCTATGTGTCCCTCAGCCAAGAGGAGCCCATAGGACTAAGCTCCTATCAGCACTGCCTGTCTGGGCCCAAGGGGTCCCCCTGGCAGGATGGCAGCTGAAAATAAGATGAAGCTACATGAATTTTCCCTGCAGGCTGCTGACAGCTTGTCTATCTTTGTGGGTACAGCTCAGCCCTGGCCTGTCTTCCTTTTTCTGGTTTTGTGTTGGAGGCAGCATCTGTGTCTTTCACAGACACGCTCAGGAGCAGAAGTCTGCTCTGTCACGGTTCATTTTCCATTCCTAAACCAAAATACTGAGGCTGATTCTTATATGTCTGGGCTTTGTCATTTCTGCTAGTAGTCTTGATTTCCCAAATTGTGAAGGGCAAGAAGAAACCCCCTTTGTAAACATTAGAAATGCCTTGCCCTGGAAGTTTTCAGTTTTTATTGTCTTGCCACATTCTGTGCAAATCAGCGTTTCAGTTAACCACTTCTAACTTCTTGTCAGTTAAGTCCCTTTTTAAAAAATAGAGTTTTAATAGACTTAATACCCTGAAAAGTAAAAGGCAGATTAAAATCCTTTTGTCATGACCAGTCGTGATTTGCTGAGTACAGTGTTCCGTACTTGATGAAGTAAACTGTCTCAAGCTGGGACAGAAGCTGATCTGGATTGGTAAGAATCCTAGGTGAACATGTTGACCTGGTAAGACATAGAAGTGGCTACAAGACAATAACTGATCAGACATTTCACAGCGACATGGCAGGGTTTGGACTTAAGAATTACTTCCAGCAAAGGTCACACTGTGTCAACAACAGGATGTCATTCGGTTGTCTTACAGAATATAGTAAAGTATGTACCTGTAATTATCATTGCTGTGCTTTCTATTAATATTTTATTTAAAGCACTATTTTATTTTGACAGTTTTGAGAAACTTCCTGTGGTTTGACTCTTTATTTTATGAGCAGATGATATCTAAATCTTGAAATGACATTCAAATGAGTCATTTTATCAGGGTGAAAGAATACACTTGGCACACACATGCGCATGCAGGAAAAAAAATGCAGTTCCTAAAATGTCATGTGAGAGTTTTTTCAGTCACTCCAGAGACAGGATTGATGGTACTTGCTTCAAAGTACTGAAATAACTGCTTCACTCAGGTAGGTATCATAGACTGGAGAATTTTGCTTTCCTTGTCTACTTGCCATTTATTATTCACTCCTGAAAACCTCTCTCCCTCCTCCAGTTCCCTCTTCTATTTTCAAACCACATTGCAGCCTTTTTAGCACTCTGCAAAACATAGTGTGGGCAGTATCTTCTAATTGATTCATCCCTCAGTTTACTTTGAAGTAGGACTTGCATTACTATTTTACAGCATTCCTTGTTTTCCTGTCCTCTTCATACCATTTTCTGTAGCTATATGGGGAGGCAGCAGGGTTCAACTCTTGCAGCACTATTCACCAGTTGTCCTTCTAAAAGTTGCTTGACATGGATCAGTAAGACCCCAGGAAATGGAACAAAATTGGGAGAATTTTAAATTAAGCCTCCAGCTTTAAGTTAATTTTTCCAGCAATTTCTTTCATAGCTTTCCTTGCAGGTTACCCTCACTTACAAGTCTCTTAGCAGATATTACCAAAAACTGATAAATCACAATGTTTGTTACAATTGTTTATCTCATTTTCTTCTTAGTGAAGCAGTCTGAACACTTAATGCATCACTTCACTTTCAGACTGCATATTATGCAAGAATGAGGCTGATGATTTGAATTTACTTTTTTAATAATATTTATATTTAGTCCTGCATACAACAGTCTCCTACTGTATAATATATAAGTATATATATAAATACTGACCAGTATTTAAGTACTGGCATAATGCAGGCTAACAGAGGGTCAGTTGTCTTATTTATGTCTTCTCAGTTGCTTCTGCAGGCTGTATTCAGCTCTTCCCTTACCAGTATCCTTGGATTTCAGTAACATTTTTTGAGATTTCAGTAACACAACTGTCTTCATCAATTCAGCAAGGGTTTAGTTAACAGGAATTTTGCAGACAATTCTATTAATGCCTAAATGCTGAAGATCAGGGGTTTTTTTTCTCAATTCTATCTTGACTTTGCTGGTTTTATTTTCCTTTCCAAATTTACTAAGTCCAAGAATAATTGAGCAATTAACATTTTTCCTCTACTACAGTCATAATTTTAAAATGTCATTTAAGTATGCTGTAGGTCAGCTTCATTGTCTTGCAGTAAGACATATCTAAAATGGCTCAAGAACATTATTCTGTATTTTTATTTCTACAAGTAAATATCTGTTTGTCTTAAACATTAATTTCTTGTCTTTCATAGAATATTAAACCATTAATATCTTGCCTTTCTCCTGGTCAAGATAAGTTTTCCAAGGAACCAACAGACAGCTCAGTACACATGCAAAGGAAAAGGAAGTGGTCACTGGCACTTCCCTAAAATACCCCTTAGCCAACAGAGTTGATGTCCTGTCTATTCTATTTGTAATGTTCAGAAAGTGAAGCAGAGTTATTTCAGAAAGACAGGCAATGCTTTTTTAACTTAAATGTACTTCCCCAGTTAATGCCAGAAGAAATCGCTCCTTTTAAAGGAACTAAAAATGCTGATTTGCCTTTCTGAAGCAGGAAGTCAACCAGGAAACACAACTTGGTACATCATGGCCATGTGAGTAGAGAGCTCCACTTTGGAGACTAAGAAGAACCAGACAGAAATCAAAGGGATGATAGAGATAGGAGAACATAACTGTACAGAGCCCCCTGTTTGAATAGCAGGCTTACATAACTTAGCCACCACGAGAATGATGAAGGTGTACTAGGGGCACACTAGTGACAAATTTATGTAGGCCAATGCCTTTGTACCCTGACAACTCTGTATTGTCACCTGACTCAGAGATGCTTCAGTAAAGGTTAAGAGAAGAATCTGGGGAGGAGGATCACAGAATCACCACATTGGAAGAAACCTTCAAGATCATTGAGTCCAACCCATGCCCTAACACCTCAAATAAACCATGGCACTGAGTGCCACATCCAGTCTTTTTTTAAACACATCCAGGATGGTGACTCCACCACCTCCCTAGGCAGACTATTCCAGTACTTTATCATCCTTTCTGTAAAAACTTTTTCCTAATATCCAACCTCTATTTCCCTTGGTGCAGCTTAAGACTTTGTCCTCTCGTTTTGTCAGCTGCTGCCTGACTAAACCTGACTACAGCCACCTTTCAGTGAGTTGTAGAGAGTGACAAGGTCACCTCTGAGTCTCCTTTTCTCCAAGCTAAACAACCCCAGCTCCCTCAGTCATTCCTCACAGGGCTTGTGTTCCAAGCCCTTCACCAGCCTCGTTGCCTCTTCTGGACGTGCTCAAGCATCTCAATGTCCTTCTTGAACTGAGGGGCCCAGAACTGGACACAGAACTCCAGGTTCTACTGGCCTCACCAGTACCAAATACAGGGGAAGAATGACCTCCCTGCTCCTGCTGGCCACACTATTCCTGATCCAGGCCAGGATGCCATTGGCTTTCTTGGCCACCAGGGCACACTGCTGGCTCATGTTCAGCCGGCTGCCACCAGTACCCCCAGGTCCCTTTCTGCCTGGGCACTGTCCAGCCACACTGTCCCCAGCCTGTAGCACTGCAGGAGGTTATTGTGGCCGAAACGCCACAATGCCACTTGGGCTTATTAAACTTCATCCTTTTGGATCCATCCATCCAGCTGTTGCAGGACTCTGCAGATCCATCCTCCCTTCCAACAGATCAACACATGCTCCCAGCTTAGTGTTGTCTGCAAATTTACTAATGAAGGAGTCAATTCCCTCATCCATGTCATCAGTAAAAATACTGAACAGAGCTGGCCTCAGCACAGACCCCTGAGGGACATCACTGGTGACTGGCCCCCAGCTGGATGCAGCACTGTTCACCACCACTCTCTGGGCCTGGCCATCCAGTCAGTTCCTAACCCAGCACAGAGTGCTCCTGTCCAAGCCAAGAGGTGCCAGCTTTGACAGGAGTGTGCTGTGGGAGACAGTGTCAAGGGCCTTGCTGAAGTCCAAATAGACAGCATCCACATCCTTTCCTGCATCCAGCAGGTGGGTCACCTGGTCATAAAAGGAGGTCAGGTTGGTCAAAGACGACCTACCCCTCCTGAACCCATTCTGGCTGGGTCTGATACCCTGGCCATCCTGTAGGGGCTGCATGATGACACTCAGTATAAACTGCTGTATTACCTTACTGGGTACTGAGGTCAGGCTGACTGGCCTGTAATTACCTGTATCCTCCTTCCCACCCTTTTTGTGAATGGGCATCATGTTGGCCAGCTTCCAGTTATCTGGAACCTCACCAGTGAGCCAGAATTGTTGGTAAATTATGGAGAGTGGCTTCACAAGCTCATCTGCCAGCTCCTAATCACCCTGGGATGGATCTCATCTGGGCCCATAAATTTATAAATATCCAAGCTGTTCAGCAGTTCTCTGACTGCCTCCTCCTGGATATCAGGGGGACCATTCTGCTCCCTGACACCATCTACCAACTCAGGAGGACAGTTGTCCTGAGGACAAGCCATCTTCCCACTAAAGACTGAGGCAAAGAAGGTGTTAAGCACTTCTGCCTTCTCCTCATCTGCAGTTACTAAGTTCTCTCCCACATCCAGTAGAGAACAGAGGTTGGTCTTACCCTTCCTTTTGCCATTAATATATTTGTAAAAGCATTTTCTATTATCTTTTACAAAAGTTGTCAAATTAAGTTCAAACTGAGCTTTGGCCTCTCTAATTGTTTTCCTGCATGCCTTAGCAACCTCCTTAAATACTTCCAGAGAGACCTGGCCATCATTCCAAAGATGATACGTCCTCTTTTTATTCTAAAGTTCCTTCAAAACCTCCTTGCCCATCCAGGCTGGACATTTGCCTCGTCAACTCATCTTTCAGCACACA